ATTAAATAAATCAAACTTGAGCTAAATAAAACGAGTAATTAAATAAATAAAAAAACACTCAAAATCATGCAATTACACATAAAACACATAGGAGCACATAAAAGATTTTTAAATAATATAATATAATATAAAACAAGATACCTCTCTTGAAGTAGTAGCTAATTGGGGTTGGATTTACCCTATTTACGCTCCAAAATGAACAAAATGATCAAGTCACCAATTTATTTATAAAGAAAAGAAATAATCACGAAATCTACTAATTAAATCACTTAAATGAAGCATAATTAATAATTAAAGAATAAAAGCAACTTGTATTTAAGAAATCAAAATTACTAGGGACCTAATTGCAAAACTTAAAAGAAGTTTTTGGGCCAAATTATAATTATTATAAATATTAGGGGATGAAATCAAAGCAAAATAAAGCTCTGAAAGTTAATTAAGCTCTAATTGTCTCCTAAAACCAGAAAATAAATTCGCCTACAACATGATTAAAACATAAAAAAAATGATTGAATTTCAAAAGGGTAAAATTGATTGATTTTCCATATTTTTGGGCCATAGTAGCATTATGGGGAACTTGAGGGCTGAGGTGGAATTTTCAAAATTATTCATGCATCCTCTTCGCAACCCTTATTCTTTCTCCTGCAACATTCCTGGTTTTCGGCTGTTTTCTCAAGATTTCAGGCCCAAATGCAAGAGATTTATATACCCAAATTACAGACAAAATCTATCCCAACATCATGCCATGACCAGATAAATTACAAGACAAACAAGCAGATTGCAATTAACCGAAGAAACAACAAGAGAACTGATTTAGCCAAGAATTTTTCTTTCTCTCTTTTCTTTTCTTCTTTTATCGAAGAGCAACAGCATCTCTTTGATTTCAATGAGACTTTATCATGCCTATAGTCAGTCATTATCGAACAAGCATAACAAAAACTTATGAAACCAGAAGGTGGAACCGACGGCAAAGCGACAAGAACTCATGTCTAATGATCTTCAACCATCATAAAAAAACGTTAAACTAACAAGGGAAGGAATTGTAAACTACCTGGGAATGTTTGCACAATCGAATGGACGTGAGGTTCTCCCAAGAAGTGCTTGTTGTTTGCTGGAACGAAGTCAAGAAACTTTTCACAAATGGAGCAGCGCTGATGATCGCGTTTCTTTGGGCTTTGATTTGGTCACCCTGGAGATGTTTTCTTTGGAATTTTTCAAAAGAAGAGTTGTCCTACTATGTTCATAGGTAGTGCAGAAATCGAGATTTCGTTAAGGAAAGCTAGAAATTATGTCGGAATTCTGCTTTGAACCTGGCTGCTCCGTCAGCCTGACCGTGGGTTTTGCAGAAAAGTTTTTTTGCACTTTTTCTCAATTTCCCCTCTCTTTTCTATCGGTCTTTTTTTTTCCGCTTCCTGCTCTCTCTCTCTCTCTTTTGTCCTCTGATCCTCTCTCTTCTTCCTCTCTTTTCTTATTTCTCCTTCCTTTTTTTTCTTTTTTTCCTTTTCTCCCTCCTTTCTTTCTTTCCCCCTAAGCTCCTTTTTTCTTCCTTTTTTTGTTGTGCCGCCAGCCCTTTTTTCCTTTCCAGAATTTTCATTTAATAACTATCCTTGCCACCCACTTCTAGCAAGTGCTGTGGTGTGCAAAAAGACAAAAATACATGGCTAATATTCAATTCACTCAATCCACTTAATATTTCTTGTTTCTTTTTTTTTTCTTTTTACTTTTCAAGGCAAAAATTTAGAGTAAACAAAAATGTTAAATTCCTTTTTGAGATTTGCCTTGCAAATTTTCATTTTATTTTGAAAAAATTGAATTTGAAAATATTAAAAAAATTGAAATTTTTAGTTGTGAAAATTTTCTTTTTTTTTCAGAAATTAAATGCAAAAAATGTTTAAAAAGAAAAATGATGAACCTAATTCAATAAATAAAATAAATAAATAAATAGCTAACTATTATTTTGCGAACTTTGGTTAAATAAAAATTAAATTAAATTAAAATTTTGGTATCTACAAATTGCCCTTCTATGTCTGAGTTTCGAAGAAACTCGAGACAAAGACGTAGACACCAAATACCTACCTATTATTCTGCTGCGAACTGAAACAAGCAAACATATAAAGGTCAGTGGGATAAAATCCAAACCTGCCGTAAGGACAGTCAAACGTTAATGTAAAAAGCCACTCTCCTGAGAACTTGGAGAAACCCTAGCCGTCTCTACCCTAGCTGTCTTTGATCGGAACTGAGGTGGTTGCCGGCCATCAGTTCTGCTGATGGCTGCAGCGGCTGCCCAACCTGCTGGTGAGGGTGGGTATCCCTCCACATCTCCAACCTTTCGTGCAAAATCATTCTCGAAGCTCTTTGCTTCATCCTCCCAGCAACGTGTGCATATGTCAGCGACGCACTCGACCCACCGTGGGGAACCAGCGATCACCTTCTCCCATGCTGACATTGAAGCTATCGTGCAACCCTTCCAGTTCGCCTTGGTTGGTAAGTTCGCCCGTTCCAGGCCTCGTATGGAGGATATCCGAAAATTCTTCTTAACGCTTGACTTGAAGGAATCCTTTTCTGTGGGATTGATGGACTCTCGGCATGTCCTTATATGCTTGCACAATGAAGCGGACTTCCTGCAGGTGTGGACGCGTAACGTTTGGTATGTGTTTGGAAGTCCCATGAGGGTGTTTAAATGGACATCCTTCTTTCATGTTGATAGGGAATCCTCACCGGTGCTCGTTTGGTTCGGCCTTCCCAAACTTCCTGTCCATTTATTTGAGAAGCAATGCTTGTTTCAGATTGTCTCATGTCTAGGCCGGCCTCTGTTTATCGACTCCGCAACTGCTGCGATGACTAGACCCAGCGTAGCTCGGGTTTGCATTGAAGTTGATCTTCTGAAGGAATTGCCTCCGCGAGTTTGGATCCAGGTAGGGGAGGGACATGGTTTTTGGCAACCTCTTATCCCCGAAAACTTGCCCAAATACTATGGGCATTGTTATCGTCAAGGCCACGATCAGTCGGAATGCCGTATCAAGCATCCTGAGTTGCGTCAAAGTGGGGAGGGTAAGGTTCGCGCAAGAGTGCGCCTAGCACCTCAACCTTTGGGGAAAGGTCACGCCCAGGGAGTGGGGGATGCAGGGGGTCAGGCCGCTGACTTGTGTGCTACGGGAGGCGGCTCTAGGCATGATTTGATAGGTGGTGCGCAGTCTGGTAGTGCTGATGAGAGAGTGGAGGCTGGTGAGGAGACGGGTGCCAACAGTAAGGAGCCTGGCCAAGGGAGAACTGCTGCAAGTGATGCTAGCAACATGGAGTTCGTCAAGGAGGGTGTCGCGCAGCACCAGGAGAACGTTGAGCAGGAAGTCTTCATCGCAGCGTCCGCATTGGTGGAGACCGCTGTTTAGGCAGCAACAGACATACTCTTCAATGAGTTGGCTGACCGAGTAGTGTGTGAGGGTGGTTTCGGAGCTGATGAGGAGAAGGACATGGCTGCGGGTGGGGAAGAGGAAGCGGAGGAGTTACCGGCAAGTATGTCTTCCACGAACATTACTTGTGCTGGCTCACTATCGCCACGGGGATCCGGAGAGCAAGGCAGCGGAGGAGTAGGAGGACATGCTGTTATGGAGACGCTTCACCTCGATCAGGTTGCAATCTTATCCCAAGGGTCCAGACGTCTCAGAGGATGGGGTATCCGAGCAAGTTCCCCTTGGATAGAGGGCTCAAGTCGGTTTCCAAGCACACTCAAACTTCATCCCATAATTTATCCCATGATTAATGCATGTTTTTCGAATATTCGGGGGATTTCCAAGCCTCTAAACCTTAGGAGACTTAAAAAGTTAATTCACATGCATCAGTTAGCAGTAGTGGGAATTTGTGAGCCCAAGTTATCTAGTACTGCAGTTGAGTCGATTCATATCCGGTTAAATTTTGAGTCGGTGATATGTAATTCGTCTGGGGAGGTTTGGGTTTTCCTTTGGGCCCCTTTCACTGGTCGTGCTGTTGGTGAGTCGGACCAGCATATCTCCCTGCTCTTGGGGTATCCCCAGTTTGCTACGGAGATTCTGGTTTCGTTTGCACATGCGAAGTGCCAGTTGGCGGAGCGAACGAGGCTCTGGGAGGGTTTGTTACTCGATAAACCACAGCATGGACCTTGGTATGTGGTGGGAGATTTTAATCTCATTTTGTCGGCAACTGAGAAAAGAGGTGGGCGGCAAGTTCGGCCAGCGGAGGGTTTGGAGTTGTCTCGGTTTATGTATGAATGGGAGGTGTTTGATACCGGTTTCACTAGGTCGATGTTCACCTGGTGCAATAATAGACTAGGGCGGGCGCGGATTTGGAAACGTCTAGATAGGGTGTTGGTTAATATGGCTTGCATGGATTTTTCCTTGTCTGTCTCGGTCTCTCACTTGGTACGGGCCCCGTCGGATCATGCCCCGCTCTTGCTTTTCTTCACCCCTAAAGCCACCAGTAAGAATCGTTCTTTTCGGTTCTTAAACTTCTAGCCATCCAAGGATGGATTTTTGGAGGTGGTCAAGTCAACTTGGCAAAGTGAAGTGACCGGGTCGCCTTTCTATGTGGTTTGGATGAAACTAAGGAATGTCTCCCATGCTCTCCATCTGTGGAATAAGGAGACAGTTGGTGACATTTTTGAGAATGTTAAACAAGGGGAAGCAGTGGTGGCGGCGGCGGAGCTCCGAGTCCAGTCTGACTCTTCCATCGAGACCTTTACTGAACTACAATGGGCTCAAGCCCAGTTGAACAAGTAGTTAGCAGTTGAAGAGCTCTTTTGGAGTCAAAAGGGTCAAGTGGCTTCAGCACGGTGATCGCAATTCGAGATATTTTCACTCGATAGTAAAGCAGAGGCGGTTCCAAATTTGTATTCACCAGGTGCGGGATTCTCGGGGGGAGTGAGCGGTGGAGGATGCAGACATAGGGAAGGAAGCTGTCAGGTACTTTAGTGATTTATTCTCGGCTAGCTCTACATCCGATTTTCAACTTCTCCATGTTATCCCTAATATGCGTGATGATATTGACAATCCTAGGTTGGAGGAGGTTCCCTCCTTAGAGGAGGTGCGTCAGGTGATATTTGCGTTGGATGGTGACAGCGCGGCTGGCCCAGATGATTTCTCTAGCAAAGTCTTCACGACTGCCTGGGAGGTGGTGGCTCACGATGTGTATAAGGCGATTCTGAGCTTCTTCTGTGGTGCGGAACTGCCTCACTTCATCACAGCGATATCTATTGTTCTTCTACCCAAGAAATTGAACCCTGATGATTTCGCCCAGTTTCGCAAAATTAGTGTTTGTAACTTTCTCAATAAAGTTATTTCGCGCATTATGGTAGGTTGGTTGTCGGGTGTCCTTCCCCGTATTATCTCTCTACAGTAGAGTGGTTTTGTGAAAGGGCGATCTATTGTAGATAATTACTTGCTGGCTCAGGAACTGATGTCTGAAATGGGAAAGAAGTGTAGGGGTGGTAACCTGGCTCTCAAGCTAGATATGGCTAAGGCATACGATAGGGTTTCTTGGGGTTTCCTTATTGCCTGCTACGACGGTTTGGCTTCGGCGAAAGGTTCATCGACATGGTGTGAAGGCTAATATCCAACGTTTGGTTCTCAGTGCTTATTAATGGCGTATCCTATGGGTTCTTCAAATCTTCCAGGGGTTTGCGTCAGGGGGACCTACTATCGCCGGCGTTATTTATTATTGGCTCGGAGGTCCTGTCCCATGCCTTAAATTCTCTTGTTACTCAGCCCAGGTTCCCGGCATTTTGGGTGCCGAGGCACTGTCCTCCTGTTACTCATTTGGCATTTGTGGACGATGTCATCATCTTTGCTAATGGGGGTGCGGCCTCGCTCAAGAAGGTCATGCAGATACTGGAGTGGTACCAGCATGACTTGGGTCAGTTGGTGAACGTGTAGAAGAGTGGTTACTTAGTTCACCCTCGAATTTCCACCGCCCGCCAGGGAGTAATTGAAAGGATCACTGGATTTCAGAAGAAAGGGTTTCCGGTTCGGTATTTAGGAGCTCCGTTGTTTGTTGGCCGCACAAAGATGTCATATTTCTCGGACCTGTGTCAGAAGGTGCTTGACAAGGTATTGTCTTGGAAGTCGCGGCTTTTGTCGTTTGGCGGAAAAATTATTTGATCAAACACGTTCTAACCAGTATCCCGATTCACCTATTAGGGATGGCGTGATACCGAAGGGGATTTTCCAGTTGATTGAAAGAGTTTGTACGAGTTTTCTTTGGGGGTCAGATAGTGAGTCTCATAAATTTCATTGGCTACGGTAGAAGGACTCGTGCTATCCCACAGAGGAGGGTGGGGCGGGGTTCCGATCAATTAGTGACACTTATAAAGCCTTCTCCTGCAAGTTATGGTGGAATTTCCGGTATGGTGTCTCCTTGTGGGCAAGATACCTGCGTGCGAAATATTGTCAGGGGCTTCATCCCTGTCAAATCTCCTTGTCTCCGTTGGGTTCGGCCACTTGGAGACGGATGTTGGACATGAGGGGATTGGCGGAGCCGTTTATGGGATGGCGTCTCTACACCGGTCACTGTAACTTCTGGTATGATAATTGGACGGGACACGGGACTTCTTATCTGTGCGTGCAGGTGCAACAGGGAGTTTCATTTCAGCAGGTTATGGAGAATGGGGCTTGGGTCGCAGGAAGACTTGCAGAGTTCCTACCGGTCAACATGGTTCGGCAGGTTCTGGCAGTGGCCGCCCCTAGCGGGGACTCTCCTGACAGGATGGTATGGACGGCGTCGAACTCGTGCTAATTTTCACTTGCATCGGCGTATAGTGAGCTCCGTGATTGTAGGCCGACCTCATTCCTGTATTGCCAGGCCTAGCATTCAAGTATCCCCTTGAAGGTGTCCTTCTTTCTTCTTCGTTTGATGCGGAGTCGTCTTCCCTTGGATGATGTCCTAGCGTCCTACGGTTTCCACATGCCCTCAAGGTGCTCCTGCTGCTCATCACCACAAACTAAATTACTGGGCCATCTGTTCTTGGAGAGGGGTTGGCGACTACGGTTTGGTCCTTCTTTGGCTCGAGATGTGAAGTAGGCCTCAATGTACGTCATGTTCGAGGATGGTTGGGTAATTGGTGGCTTAAGCCGGTAAAGTTGGATAGACTTAAGTTTGTGCTCCGGCTCTTATCTAGTCTCGTCTGCTGGCACATTTGGAAGGCGAGAAATAAGGTGGTGTTCCAAGGGGCCAGATTGAACCTGGCTGCGGTCTATCGGGCCATCTTCCGGGACCTCAAGGATGCATATGGCCTCAAGTTCATAGAGTTACAGCAGGTGTGGGACTGGCCAACTTTCCTGGAATTGGTGGAGCATCGGCCTGTGGCCTTCCGTTTGCAGCCTGTCCAGTGGCATTCTACCCCGCCTCGGTTTGTCAAGCTCAATATAGATGGCTGCTCGAAAGGTAACCCTGGGGTGAGTAGTGGTGGTGGGTCCTTCGGAGTTCCGAGGGAAACTTGCTATTCGCATTCTCTGGGTACTTTGGATTCTGTACCAGTCTTCAGGCCGAGGCCAAGGTTTTGCTCCTTGGACTGCAGTTGTGTGTGCAACAAGGCTTTATGGATAGTCTGATTGTTGAGTCGGATTCATTGTTGTTAGTACACATTCTCTTAAAGAAGTCCCGGTGTCCCTGGTCCATTTGTGGGGAGGCGGAGCACACTGAGCAATTGGCCCGAGAAGGGTTGCAGGTCGTTCATTGCTACAGGGAAGCGAACAAGGTGGCGGATGTGCTGTCCAATGTGGGCTATGCCGGTCTGGATCAAGGGGTGTGTGTCTATGAGAGCTTCGCGGGCTGCCATTCTTGGCTAGGGGTGCCTATCGCTTAGATCAGCTTGTTTTTCCCTCGTTTCGCAGGATTAGATCCTTACCTGATACTCCCAGAATATAACCTTTTCTTTGGTTGAATAAAGTGACGAATTTAAAAAAAAAAACCTGCCGTAAAAATTAGTCAGTGGGATAAAATCCAAACCTGTCGAAAAATTGGTCAGTGGAATAAAACCCGACTTGCCATAAAATTGATCAGTGGAATAAAATCTGAACCTGCCGAAAATTGAAATATTATTGCAGAATGTTTTTTGTAAAACTTTGAAGATTTTGATGGAGATAGATAACTCTTCTAAAAAATTTGCCCCAGTGTGATGTTATTGGACATTTGGATCTGCAAAAAAAAAAAAGGAATAATCATAATGACAGATAATGCCACCACCGTCCGATCAATCCCTCTTTCAAGAAATGTGTAGACATGAGTATTTGAACTTTCTTCTCCGATGTAGCGAAAACTCAACTTTGCTCTACGAACTGTATGAAGTTTTCTTAACTTCCAATGCTAATCAAATATGACATTTGCTATCCAGGCATTTTCAATAAATCATAGGAATTGCCATTTGATAAACCCAACGAGATAAATGATACCATGAAACACATGAAAAAATATTTTATTTAAACAAAAATGATAAAAATCCCAGTAACATAAAACAACCATTTACCTTTATTGAAAGAAAATTGATTTTAGAGAAATGAACCTGTAAACTCAATAGTTTATGCTTGAAGAACCAAGTACTTTGATCTCAAATAAAATGCCACGTTTGACCCTTTGGATGTCGTCCCTCCGGAGTTCAATGCTGGCAACAGAACCACAACGTGAAGAGAAATTCAAATGAACTAAATCACCAGCCATTCAATTCCATCCTCACTTTTCCTCATAAAACCCTACCTTAGCGCCCTTTTCGGTTTTCACTAAGGCTACTCCAACTTTTTTTATTCTCATTTTTTGTTGTTTTTCTTTCTTCTTTTTTTCCCCTTTTTTCTTTTTATTTTTTTATTCCTCTCTTTTTCTTTTCTTATTTTTTGAAAAGGCGCCCTTTCGGATGTTCACCTAATGAATAAATTTTGCCGATAGCCTTTATCAACTCAGAAATATGTTTTAAGAAATGATGACATCAGTGTGACAATCTTTTTCCTTGCAAAATTAGTAAAGGTGTATTGACATCATTTGCCATTTGATTAAGTGATTTTCATTAAAAATACTACTAAGGCGGAGGTCAGGACTTTACAATTTTTGTAACGAGGTCAGGTGTGGTGTTGAGAAATGTTAAAGCTCGAAGGCAAAATTTTAAAGGATTTAAAAAAAAAAATCTAAGACCGCATTCGATCAACATTTGCTTCTGTATGAGGGTATTAAAACTAAAGAATTGCCCCAATTTGGCTTTTGACTCCTTTCTTCTTCTTATTTTTTTTATAACAAATAGGAGATAAAATTTGCCCCAGTGTGGGGTTAGCGATCTTTAGGGAGGCTATCAAACGAAAGATTAAATTATTCTGGAGGTTCAAAGGGGAAAATTAGGGATAGGACGTTCAAAGGGAAAAGAAAAAAGCCCATCTTTAATCCACCCTAGATGGTATTTCAAAAGAAAGGTTACATAATTAGATAAAAAATTTCTTACTCATATCTGAATTGATCGACTAAGGAAAAACCTGCTCATCCATTTCTGCCAGAATGAGTGCTCCTCCAGGCAATACTTTTTTGATGATGAAAGGTCCTTGCCAATTGGGGGCAAACTTGTCTTTGGTCTCCTCTTGCACTAGCAAAATTCGTTTCAACACTTTGTTTCCTTCTTTGAATAGTCGCAGTTTGACCTTCTTGTTGTAAGCATGAGCCATTCTCCTTTTGTGACGCCCCCACTTTACTTATACCATTCATGAAATTGGGATTTACACAAGAATAATTGGTTCCAGTGTCATTTAAAACTCCAGTTTAAAAGATTCAATCTTGTAGTTCAAAACTCGAATAGAGTGATATATTGTCAGTAGAAGACTAAACTTACCAAAATTTTCGGACTTAATTTGTCCAAATCGAGTCAATCATAGCATGCGAGATAAAATCAAGGGTTTTAATGTATTTTGGATATGTATGTGGCAAAATGCAATTCAGAATTTCAAAACTAGAGTTAAAGATACAAACTTTTCTTTATGGCCTGAAACTAAATTTTCTTAATCAGAAATTTCAAATAATATTTTTACCACAATCATCAATACGTTTAAGAATTCTTCAAATACGTTTAAGAAGATTAATCATGCAACTCAATGCGTGGATACTAAAACACATCTATAATAAAATAACATATACAAGGAGGATATTTCAAAAATTCTCTCAAAGTTTTAAGTTAAGAGCTGCATTTGAGTAGACGTATATTTTCGAAAACACTTTTAAGAAAGATAAATAAACATGCAAGTTCATATATTCATAAACTTCGATCCAACGCCTTTATCACCCTTCACTTCTAATCCAAAAGCTAACTCTAATGGTACATAAAGCTTTGTCATTTTTACTCTCCAATTCACAGCAAATATTCACTCTTATTCTTAAGGAAAGATCTGAGCCTAAGCTTTGCTCGATTTCTGATTCTTACGCGGGTTCAAGATGCATATACAAGTTACAAATACATTTAAAATTAAATCATGATTCTTTGAATATATCAAAAGTCATAGTACAAGTTGAGAGATCACAAACAAGCCAAGTATGTCAAAGATAGGTCATGGACAATTAAGTGCCACAAAAATAAAAGTACATGCAAGCAAATTACAAAAGACCTCACGGTATTCACCACCCCTACTATCATAGGCAGTAACAAAAGGAGAAAATCATAAGCCTAGTTAGGGGAAAACCAGAAGGATCCATGATACCAAGCCACATCATTTGAATAATTCTAAATTCTAAATTCCATCCAAAATCTAAGCCACTTTTTAAGTCCTTAGTCTAAAACTTCCAACGAATACGAGCTTTCCTTACTAAATTCAAGATGAAATTCTTATACCGGCTAGGGTATTGAGTCAAACCAAAAGAAATGCAAAAGTGTCTCATTTCAATCTCAACTACATTCCACTTCTCTCTGGTCAAT